GGATGGATCGGAGGCAGGCCAGCCTAAATGTTTCTAACCGGCGAAGATGTTCCATTAGGGGGGTCCACGTTTCGCAAGCGTAGAGAAGGGAGGGAATGACCGTGGCCGAGAAGACCTGAAGCTTAGTGCGGAGCGACAGACCAGGTAGCTTCCACACAGAGACACACACAGACACACACAGACACACAGAGACACACAGAGACACACAGAGACACACAGACACACACAGACACACACACACAGAGACACACAGAGACACAGACACACACAGAGACACACACAGAGACACACAGACAGAGACACACAGAGACACACAGAGACACAGATAGAGAGAGACACACAGACACACAGACAGAGACACAGATAGAGACACACAGAGACACAGAGAGAGACACACAGACACACAGACAGAGACACACAGACACACAGACAGAGACACACAGACACACAAAGACACACAGAGACACACAGACAGAGACACACAGAGACACACAGAGACACAGATTGAGAGAGACACACAGAGACACACGGAGACACACAGACAGAGACACACAGAGACACACAGACACACAGACACAGAGACATACAGACACAGAGACACACAGACACAGAGACACACAGACACACAGACAGAGACACACACAGAGACACACACACAGAGACACACAGACACACACAGACACACACAGACACAGAGACACACAGAGACACACACAGAGACACACACAGAGACACACAGACAGAGACACACAGAGACACACAGAGACACAGATAGAGAGAGACACACAGACACACAGACAGAGACACAGATAGAGACACACAGAGACACAGATAGAGAGAGACACACAGACACACAGACAGAGACACACAGACACACAGACAGAGACACACAGACACACAGACAGACACACAAAGACACACAGAGACACACAGACAGAGACACACAGAGACACAGATAGAGAGAGACACACAGAGACACACGGAGACACACAGACAGAGACACACAGAGACACACAGAGACACACAGACAGAGACACACAGACACAGAGACATACAGACACAGAGACACACAGACACACAGACACACAGACAGAGACACACACAGAGACACACACACAGAGACACACAGACACACAGACAGAGACACACACACAGAGACACACACACACAGAGACACACAGACACACAGACAGAGACACACAGAGACACACAGAGACAGAGACACACAGACACACAGACAGAGACACACACACAGAGACACACACACACAGAGACACACAGACACACAGACAGAGACACACAGACAGAGACACACACACACAGAGACACACAGACACACAGACAGAGACACACACACAGAGACACACACACAGAGACACACACACAGAGACACACACACAGAGACACACAGACAGAGACACACAGACACACACACACAGAGACACACAGACACACACACAGAGACACACACAGACACACACAGACACACACACAGACACACAGACACACACAGACACACACACACACAGACACACACACAGACAGAGACACACAGACACACAGGCTCAACATAATGACACCGGAGGGCTGGCTGGTGGAGTCGGTGCGGGCCGCCTACGACCTGGACAATATCTACATGGAGGAGGTGCCTGGCCACACAGACACACAGACACACACAGACACACAGACACACAGACACACACACAGAGACACACACAGACACACAGACACACAGACTCAACATGATGACACCGGAGGGCTGGCTGGTGGAGTCGGTGCGGGCCGCCTACGACCTGGACAATATCTACATGGAGGAGGTGCCTGGCCACACAGACACACAGACACACACAGACACACAGACACACAGACACACAGACACACACACAGACAGAGACACACACAGACACACAGACACACAGACAGAGACACAGACACACAGACAGAGACACACACAGACACAGACTCAACATGATGACACCGGAGGGCTGGCTGGTGGAGTCGGTGCGGGCCGCCTACGACCTGGACAATATCTACATGGAGGAGGTGCCTGGGCACACAGACAGAGACACAGACACACAGACACAGAGACACACACAGAGACACACAGACAGAGACACACAGACACAGAGACACACACAGGGACACACACACACACAGACACACAGACTCAACATGATGACACCGGAGGGCTGGCTGGTGGAGTCGGTGCGGGCCGCCTACGACCTGGACAATATCTACATGGAGGAGGTGCCTGGGCACACAGACAGAGACACAGACATACAGACACAGAGACACACACAGAGACACACAGACAGAGACACACAGACACAGAGACACACACAGAGACACACACACACACACACACAGACACACAGACTCAACATGATGACACCGGAGGGCTGGCTGGTGGAGTCGGTGCGGGCCGCCTACGACCTGGACAATATCTACATGGAGGAGGTGCCTGGCCACACACACGCACAGAGACAGAGACACACAGACACACAGAGACACACAGACACACAGAGATACACAGACACACAGACACACACAGAGACACACACAGAGACACACAGAGACACACAGAGACACACAGACACACAGACAGAGACACACACAGAGACACACACAGACACACAGACTCAACATGATGACACCGGAGGGCTGGCTGGTGGAGTCGGTGCGGGCCGCCTACGACCTGGACAATATCTACATGGAGGAGGTGCCTGGGCACACAGACAGACACACAGAGACACACAGAGACACAGACACACACAGAGACACACAGAGACACACAGAGACACAGACACACACAGAGACACACAGACACACACAGAGACACACAGACACACACACAGACACACAGAGACAGAGACACACAGACACAGACTCAACATGATGACGCCGGAGGGCTGGCTGGTGGAGTCGGTGCGGGCCGCCTACGACCTGGATAATATCTACATGGAGGAGGTGCCTGGGCACACAGACAGAGACACACAGACAGAGACACACAGAGACACAGAGACACACACACACAGAGACACACAGACAGAGACACACAGAGACAGACACAGAGGCACACAGAGACACACACAGACACACACAGACACACAGAGACACACAGAGACACACAGACACACACACACACAGAGACACACAGAGACACAGACACACACAGAGACACACAGACAGAGACACACAGAGACACACAGAGACACAGATAGAGAGAGACACACAGACACACAGACAGAGACACAGATAGAGACACACAGACACACAGACAGAGACACACAGACACACAGACAGAGACACACAGACACACAAAGACACACAGAGACACACAGACAGAGACACACAGAGACACACAGAGACACAGATAGAGAGAGACACACAGAGACACACGGAGACACACAGACAGAGACACACAGAGACACACAGAGACACACAGAGACACACAGACACAGAGACATACAGACACAGAGACACACAGACACAGAGACACACAGACACAGAGACACACAGACACACAGACAGAGACACACACAGAGACACACACACAGAGACACACAGACACACAGACAGAGACACACACACAGAGACACACACACAGAGACACACACACACAGAGACACACAGACACACACAGACACAGAGACACACAGAGACACACACAGAGACACACACAGAGACACACACAGAGACACACACAGAGACACACACAGAGACACACACAGAGACACACAGACAGAGACACACAGAGACACAGATAGAGAGAGACACACAGACACACAGACAGAGACACAGATAGAGACACACAGAGACACAGATAGAGAGAGACACACAGACACACAGACAGAGACACACAGACACACAGACAGAGACACACAGACACACAGACAGACACACAAAGACACACAGAGACACACAGACAGAGACACACAGAGACACAGATAGAGAGAGACACACAGAGACACACGGAGACACACTGACAGAGACACACAGAGACACACAGAGACACACAGACAGAGACACACAGACACAGAGACATACAGACACAGAGACACACAGACACACAGACACACAGACAGAGACACACACAGAGACACACACACAGAGACACACAGACACACAGACAGAGACACACACACAGAGACACACACACACAGAGACACACAGACACACAGACAGAGACACACAGAGACACACAGAGACAGAGACACACAGACACACAGACAGAGACACACACACAGAGACACACACACACAGAGACACACAGACACACAGACAGAGACACACAGACAGAGACACACAGACAGAGACACACAGACAGAGACACACAGACACAGAGACACACACACACAGAGACACACAGACACACAGACAGAGACACACACACAGAGACACACACACAGAGACACACACACAGAGACACACAGACAGAGACACACAGACACACACACACAGAGACACACAGACACACACACAGAGACACACACACAGACACACAGAGACACACAGACACACACAGAGACACAGACACACACAGACACACACAGACACACACAGACACACAGAGACACACACAGACACACACAGACACACAGAGACACACACAGACACACACAGACACACACAGAGACACACACACAGAGACACACACACAGAGACACACACACAGAGACACACACACAGAGACACACACAGACACACACAGACACACACAGACACACAGAGACACACACAGACACACACAGACACACAGAGACACACAGAGACACACAGACACACAGAGACACACACAGACACACACAGAGACACACACACAGAGACACACACAGAGACACACACACAGAGACACACACACAGACAGAGACACGCACACAGAGAGAGACAGAGAGACACGTCTAGGAGTACTTCCAGTCGCTGAGATGGAGTAATAAATCCCTCCCCCTCCCTCCCCCCCTCCCCCCCTCCCCCCCCCCTCCCCCCCCTCCCCCCCCCAGGTGGAGGGTGTGATCACGGCCGACTTCGAGTTGGAGTTCCTCATCCTGGAGGGCCACTGCTATGACGTGACCACGGCACAGCCTCCTCGCGGACTCCAGTTCACACTGGGCACCCGCAGTCAGCCTGTCGCCGTGGACACCATCGTCATGGCTAACCTGGTGAGGGCCTCGTACACGTGAACACACGTGAACACACACACAGACACACGTGAACACACACACACACAGCCTCCTCGCGGACTCCAGTTCACACTGGGCACCCGCAGTCAGCCTGTCGCCGTGGATACCATCGTCATGGCTAACCTGGTGAGTGCCTGGTACACACACGTGAACACACACGTGAACACACACACACGTGAACACACACACACACGTGAACACACACACACGTGAACACACACGCACACGTGAACACACACGTGAACACACACACACGTGAACACACACACACACACACGTGAACACACACGCACACGTGAACACACACGTGAACACACACACACGTGAACACACACACACGTGAGCACGTGAACACACACACGTGAACACACACATGAACACGCACACGTGAACACACACGTGAACACACACGTGAACACACACACGTGAACACACACGTGAACACACACACACACACACGTGAACACACACACACGTGAACACACACACACACACACATGTGAACACACACACACACGTGAACACACACACGAGAACACACACACGAGAACACACACACAGACACGTGAACACACACACATGAACACACACACACGTGAGCACGTGAACACACACGTGAACACACACATGAACACACACACGTGAACACGCGCACACACGTGAACACACACACGTGAACACACACACACGAGAACACGCACACGTGCATGCACACACACGTGAACACACACACGTGAACACACACGTGAACACACACACACACGAGAACACGCACACGTGCATGCACACACACGTGAACACACACACACGTGAACACACACACACACGAGAACACGCACACGTGCATGCACACACACGTGAACACACACACACGTGAACACACACACATGAACACACACACGTGAACATGCACACACACTCACGTGCACGCGTGTGCACACACACACGTGAACACACACACACGTGAACAAGGGCTGAACGACGAATCGATTTCAAATCGAAATCGCGATTTGAAAAAACAAATGCGATTAGCAAATCGCAAAAGGCTGCTTTTTTAATCCCCCGATTTCAAAAGTCCTCTCGCTTTCTCATCGGAATAGCTTCAAACGTTTCGTCACCGTAACTTTATTCAAATGAACAATCGTTTCAATGAACACATTTTAATTGATGCACGCTTGGAAGCAAATGCGCGTCTTTTAATTTCTGTGATATAAAAACATTTTTTTATTTAAAGCTTTTGTGTGACTGCGGTAATTCTTAGCTCTTCCCCCCCCACCCCAACTCCCTCCTTCAACGCGACTTTAAAATCTCCAATCGCAAAACCGCAATCGGAATTCGCGACGAGACTTTCTCTCTCCCCTACGTCGCACGCTCCACTCTCCTCCCATTGCATCTCTCCCCTCCCCCCCCACCACCACCCACCACCTTCCCCCCACCACCACCACCTTCCCCCCCCCACCACCACCACCTTCCCCCCACCACCACCACCACCACCCCCCACCACCGCAGGGATATTTTCAGCTGAAAGCAAACCCCGGAGCCTGGATCTTGCGACTTCGCAAGGGTCGGTCGGAGGACATCTACAACATCTTCACGTGAGAGTCACCCAGCCACTCCTCCCCCCGCCACGGACACTCCACCGGTGTCACTCTGGACGCGGAGGGGGCGGTGGTTGCGGTGGTTGTGGTGGTTGTGGTGGTTGTGGTGGTTGTGGTGGTTGTGGTGGTTGTGGTGGTTGTTGGGGGTGCGGTGGTTGTGATGGTTGCGGTGGTTGTGATGGTTGTCGGGGTTGTGGTGGTTGTGGTGGTTGTGGTGGTTGTGATGGTTGTGGTGGTTGTGATGGTTGTCGGGGTTGCGGTGGTTGTGATGGTTGTGGTGGTTGTGATGGTTGCGGTGGTTGTGATGGTTGTGATGGTTGCGATGGTTGTGATGGTTGTGATGGTTGTTGGGGTTGTGATGGTTGTTGGGGTTGCGGTGGTTGTGGTGGTTGTGGTGGTTGTGGTGGTTGTGGTGGTTGCGGTGGTTGCGATGGTTGTGATGGTTGCGGTGGTTGCGATGGTTGTTGGGGTTGTGGTGGTTGTGGTGGTTGTGATGGTTGCGATGGTTGCGGTGGTTGTGATGGTTGTGGTGGTTGCGATGGTTGTTGGGGTTGCGGTGGTTGTGATGGTTGTGGTGGTTGCGATGGTTGCTATGGTTGTGATGGTTGCTATGGTTGCTATGGTTGCTATGGTTGCTATGGTTGTTATGGTTGTGATGGTTGTGATGGTTGCTATGGTTGTGATGGTTGCGGTGGTTGTGATGGTTGTGATGGTTGTGGTGGTTGCGATGGTTGCTATGGTTGTGATGGTTGCTATGGTTGTGATGGTTGCTATGGTTGCTATGGTTGTTATGGTTGTGATGGTTGTGATGGTTGCTATGGTTGTGATGGTTGCGGTGGTTGCTATGGTTGTGATGGTTGCTATGGTTGCTATGGTTGCTATGGTTGCTATGGTTGCTATGGTTGCTATGGTTGCGATGGTTGTGATGGTTGCGGTGGTTGCTATGGTTGCTGTGGTTGCGGTGGTTGCTATGGTTGCTATGGTTGTGATGGTTGCTATGGTTGCTATGGTTGCTATGGTTGCGGTGGTTGCGATGGTTGCTATGGTTGCTATGGTTGCTATGGTTGCTATGATTGCGATGGTTGCGATGGTTGCTATGGTTGCTATGATTGCGATGGTTGCTATGGTTGCTATGGTTGCTATGGTTGCGGTGGTTGCTATGGTTGCTATGGTTGCTATGGTTGCGATGGTTGCTATGGTTGCTATGGTTGCGGTGGTTGCTATGGTTGCGGTGGTTGCTATGGTTGCTATGGTTGCTATGGTTGCTATGGTTGTGATGGTTGTGATGGTTGCTATGGTTGCTATGGTTGCTATGGTTGTGATGGTTGTTATGGTTGCTATGGTTGCGATGGTTGCGGTGGTTGATATGGTTGCTATGGTTGCGGTGGTTGCTATGGTTGCGGTGGTTGCTATGGTTGCTATGGTTGCTATGGTTGTGATGGTTGCTATGGTTGCTATGGTTGCTATGGTTGCTATGGTTGCGATGGTTGCGGTGGTTGATATGGTTGCTATGGTTGCGGTGGTTGCTATGGTTGCTATGGTTGCTATGGTTGTGATGGTTGCTATGGTTGCTATGGTTGCAGGCACGAGGGCACCGATTCGCCGCCCGACGCTGAGGAAGTCGTCGTGGTGATGAGCAGCTTGCAGAGCAAGAGCCTCAAAGTGCGGGTGAGCATTCCCCTCGCTCACCACCTCCTCCTCCTCACCACCACCTCCTCCTCACCACCACCTCACCACCTCACCACCACCTCCTCACCACCTCCTCCTCACCACCACCTCACCTCCTCCTCACCACCTCCTCACCACCCCCTCACCACCACCACCCCCTCACCACCACCACCTCCTCCTCACCATCACCACCCCCTCACCACCTCCTCACCACCTCCTCACCACCACCCCCTCACCACCTCCTGACCACCTCCTCCTCACCATCACCACCTCCTCACCACCTCCTCCTCACCATCACCACCTCACCACCACCACCTCCTCCTCACCATCACCACCTCACCACCACCACCTCCTCCTCACCATCACCACCTCACCACCTCCTCCTCACCACCCCCTCACCACCTCCTCACCACCTCCTCACCACCACCACCTCCTCACCACCACCACCTCCTCCTCCTCCTCACCACCACCACCCCCTCACCACCTCCTCACCACCCTCACCACCACCACCCCCTCACCACCACCTCCTCACCACCTCCTCACCCCCTCCTCACCCACCCCCCCGCGTGTCTCACCTGACACAGGTACAGAAGAAGTTGGGGAAGCTGAGTGAGGAGCTGCTGAGTGACGACTCCCACGGGGAGGGCGGCGGGGGCGGGGGGGGCATCTGGGACTCCCTGCGCAGGTGGGGGGGGGGGGGGGGGGGGGGGGCGGGGGGGGGGGCGGGGGGGGGCCGGGGGGGCAGCCAGCGCCTGCCAGAGTGATGCTTTGTGTGAGTGGCGTGGTGATGGTGATGGTGATGTTGGTGGTGTTGGTGGTGTTGGTGATGGTGATGGCGGTGATGTTGGTGATGTTGGTGATGTTGGTGGTGTTGGTGATGTTGGTGGTGTTGGTGGTGTTGGTGATGTTGGTGGTGTTGGTGATGTTGGTGGTGTTGGTGATGTTGGTGGTGTTGGTGATGTTGGTGATGTTGGTGGTGTTGGTGGTGTTGGTGGTGTTGGTGATGTTGGTGGTGTTGGTGATGTTGGTGGTGTTGGTGATGTTGGTGGTGTTGGTGATGTTGCTGGTGGTGGTGTTGCTGGTGATGGCGGTGATGTTGGTGATGTTGGTGATGGCGGTGATGTTGGTGGTATTGCTGGTGGTGGTGTTGCTGGTGGTGGTGTTGCTGGTGGTGGTGTTGCTGGTGTTGCTGGTGATGTTGGCGATGTTGGTGATGTTGGTGATGGCGGTGATGTTGGTGATGGTGAAGGCGGTGATGGTGGTATTCATGGTGTTGATGTTGTCGATGTTGTTGATGTCGTTGTTGATGTTGTTGTTGATGTCGATGTTGTTGTTATTGTTGATGTTGTTGTTGCTGATGTCGTTGTTGATGTCGTTGTTGATGTCGTTGTTGATGTCGTTGTTGATGTTGTTGATGTTGTTGTCGATCTTGTTATTGATGTTGTTGTTGATGTTGTCGATGTTGTTGTTGATGTTGTTGTCGTTGTTGATGTTGTTGTGTGTGAAGCAGCTTCACTGGAGCAGCGAGATCTGAGGAGAGTGACTCTGACAAGCAGGAGGAGGTCATCAACATCTTCTCTGTCGCCTCGGGTCACCTCTATGAGCGCTTCCTTCGGTACACCGCTAGATCGATCACTCATTCTCTCACTCATTCACTCACTCATTCACTCACTCATTCACTCACTCATTCACTCATTCACTCACTCATTACTCACTCATTAACACACTCATTCATTCACTCATTCACTCACTCATTAACTCACTCATTCATTCACTCACTCATTCATTCACTCACTCATTCTCTCACTCATTAACTCACTCATTACTCACTCATTCACTCACTCATTACTCACTCATTCACTCACTCATTCACTCATTAACTCACTCATTCACTCATTCACTCGCTCATTCACTCACTCATTCGCTCATTCACTCACTCATTCACTCACTCATTCACTCACTCATTCTCTCACTAATTACTCACTTACTCATTAACTCATTCACTCACTAATTCACTCACTCATTTTCTCACTCACTTGCTCATTAACTCATTCACTCACTCATTCACTCACTCATTCTCTCACTCATTCACTCACTCATTCACTCAGTCATTCACTCACTCATTCTCCCACTCATTCACTCACTCATTCACTCATTCACTCACTCATTCACTCACTCATTCACTCACTCATTCTCTCACTCATTCTCTCACTCATTCACTCACTCATTCTCTCACTCATTCTCTCACTCATTCTCTCACTCATTCACTCACTCATTCACTCACTCATTACTCACTCATTCACTCACTCATTCACCCACTCATTACTCATTAACTCATTCACTCACTCATTACTCACTTACTCATTCACTCACTCATTCACTCATTCATTCACTCACTCATTCATTCACTCAATCACTCACTCACTCATTACTCACTCATTCTCTCACTCATTCACTCACTCATTACTCACTCATTCACTCACTCATTCACTCACTCATTACTCACTCATTCACTCACTCATTCACTCACTCATTCACTCACTTACTCATTAACTCATTCACTCACTCATTCACTCACTCATTACTCACTCATTCACTCACTCACTCATTACTCACTCGTTCACTCATTAACTCACTCATTCACTCACTCATTCACTCACTTATTAACTCACTCACTTACTCACTTACTCTTTAACTCATTCACTCACTCATTTCTCACTCATTACTCACTTACTTTCTCATCAACTCATTCACTCACTCACTAATTATCTCACTCATCCACTCACTCACTCACCTACTCATTAACTCATTCATTCACTCATTCATTCTCTCACTCACTCACTCACTCATTAACTCATTCATTCACTCATTCTCTCACTCGCTCGTTCACTCACTCATTCACTCATTTACTCACTCATTCACTCATTCACTCACTCACTCATTAACTCACTCATTCACTCACCCACTCACTTACTCATTCACTCACTCGCTCGTTCACTCATTCATTAACTCGCTCACTCATTCACTCATTCACTCACTCATTCACTCGCTCATTCACTCACTCACTCATTAACTCACTCATTAACTCACTCACTCATTCACTCACTCATTCACTCACTCATTCACTCACGCACTCGCTCGTTCACTCACTCGCTCGTTCACTCACTCACTCACTCACCCACTCATTCACTCGCTCATTCACTCACTCACTCACCCACTCATTCACTCACTCGTTCGCTCACTCACTCACTCGCTCACTAATTCACTCGCTTGTTCACTCACTCATTCACTCACTCGCTCATTGGCTCACTCGTTGACTCGCTCACTAATTCACTCACTTACTAATTCACTCACTCACTAATTCACTCACTCATTCATTCACTCACTCACTTACTCACTCACTCATTCACTCACTCGTTCACTCACTCACTCGTTTATTCACCCGCTCACTAATTCACTCGCTCGCTCGTTCACTCATTAACTCGCTCACTAATTATCCCCGCTCGCTTATTCACTCACTCACTCACGCATGCACTCACTCGCTCACTTGCCCATTCACTCGCCAATTATCTCGCTCACTCGCTCGCTCAGTAACTCGCTCATTCACTCAACAATCAACTCACTCGTTCACCCCTCCCCTCGCCCCCCCCCCTCCACGCCCCTCCCCTCACTCCCCCTCCCCCCACCGCCCCCCCCCTCGCCCCCCCCCACCGCCCCCCTCCCCCCTCCCCCAGGATCATGATGCTCTCCGTGCTCAAGCACACCCAGACACCGGTCAAGTTTTGGTTCCTCAAGAACTACCTCTCACCCACCTTCAAGGTACTGGGACCGTGCCGTCTGGCCTGCCGCGGGGGTCAGCGGGTCAGTGGACAAGTGGGTCAGTGGGTCAGTGGGTCGGTGGACAAGTGGGTCAGTGGATCAGTGGACAAGTGGGTCAGTGGGTCAGTGGACAAGTGGGTCAGTGGGTCAGTGGGTCAGTGGACAAGTGAGTCAGTGGGTCAGTGGGTCAGTGGACAAGTGAGTCAGTGGGTCAGTGGACAAGTGGGTCAGTGGGTCAGTGGACAAGTGGGTCAGTGGGTCAGTGGACAAGTGGGTCAGTGGGTCAGTGGACAAGTGGGTCAGTGGGTCAGTGAACAAGTGGGTCAGTGTGTCAGTGTGTCAGTGGGTCAGTGGACAAGTGGGTTAGTGGGTCAGTGGGTGTGTGGATGTCTCACGGCCGTGTCCATCCGGTGATTGCCGAGCTCCGTTGGATTTACAGTCCGGGCTGTCGCCTGACGAGGCTGGTGGGGACCCCTCCCCACTCGCCCCACCCCAATTTTGTCGACGGGGCATGCCCCACCCACCCCCTCCCTCTCTCCCTCCCTCTCCTCCCTCCCTCTCCTCCCTCTCCTCCATCCCCTCCCTCCCCTCCCTCCCTCTCCTCCATCCCCTCCCTCCCTCCCTCTCCTCCCTCCCTCTCCTCCATCCCCTCCCTCCCCTCCCTCTCCTCCCTCCCCTCCCTCTCCTCCCTCCCTCTCCTCCCTCCATCCCTCCCTCTCCTCCCTCTCCTCCCTCCCTCCCCTCCCTCCCTCTCCTCCCTCTCCTCCATCCCCTCCCTCCCCTCCCTCTCCTCCCTCCCCTCCCTCTCCTCCCTCCCTCTCCTCCCTCCATCCCTCCCTCTCCTCCCTCTCCTCCCTCCCTCCCCTCCCTCCCTCTCCTCCCTCTCCTCCCTCCCTCTCCTCCCTCTCCTCGCTCTCCTTCCCTCTCCTCCCTATCCTCCCTCTCCTCCCTCCCTCCCTCTCCTCCCTCTCCTCCCTCCCTCTCCTCCCTCTCCTCGCTCTCCTTCCCTCTCCTCCCTATCCTCCCTCTCCTCCCTTCCTCCCTCCTCTCCCTCCCCGTCCTCCCTCCAGGAGTTCATCCCCCACATGGCGAGGCGGTACGGCTTCCGCTACGAGCTGGTGCAGTACAAGTGGCCTCGCTGGCTGCACCAGCAGACGGAGAAGCAGAGGATCATCTGGGGCTACAAGATCCTCTTCCTCGACGTGCTCTTCCCCCTCGCGGTCGACAAGATCATCTTCGTAGACGCTGACCAGGTGCGTGCATGTGTGTGTGGAGAGAAGAACCAGTGGCATCTACATCTGTAGAACGTGAAGAACCAGTGGCATCTACATTTGTAGAACGTGAAGAACCAGTGGCATCTACATCTACAGAACGTGAAGAACCAGTGGCATCTACTTCTGTAGAACGTGAAGAACCAGTGGCATCTACATCTACAGAACGTGAAGAACCAGTAGCATCTATATCTGCCGAACGTGAAGAACCAGTGGCATCTACATCTGTAGAACGTGAAGAACCAGTGGCATCTACATCTACAGAACGTGAAGAACCAGTAGCATCTATATCTGCCAAACGTGAAGAACCAGTGGCATCTGCATCTGTAGAACGTGAAGAACCAGTGGCATCTACTTCTGTAGAACGTGAAGAACCAGTGGCATCTACATCAGCAGAATGTGAAGAACCAGTGGCATCTACATCTGTAGAACGTGAAGAACCAGTGGCATATACATCTACAGAACGTGAAGAACCAGTGGTATCTACATCTGCAGAACGTGAAGAACCAGTGGCATCTACATCTACACAACTGAAGAACCAGTGGCATCTACATCTGCAGAACGTGAAGAACCAGTGGCATGTACATCTGTAGAACGTGAAGAACCAGTGGCATCTACTTCTGTAGAACGTGAAGAACCAGTGGCATCTACATCTGCAGAACGTGAAGAACCAGTAGCATCTATATCTGCTGAACGTGAAGAACCAGTGGCATCTACATCTGTAGAACGTGAAGAAGCAGTGACATCTACATCTGCAGAACGTGAAGAACCAGTGGCATCTACATCTGTAGAACGTGAAGAACCAGTGGCATCTACTCTACAGAACATGAAGAACCAGTGGCATCTACATCTGTAGAACGTGAAGAACCAGTGGCATCTACATCTGCAGAACGTGAAGAACCAGTGGCATCTACATCTGCAGAACGTGAAGAACCAGTGGCATCTACATCTACAGAACGTGAAGAACCAGTGACATCTACATCTGCAGAACGTGAAGAACCAGTGGCATCTACATCCACAGAACATGAAGAACCAGTGGCATCTACATCTGTAGAACGTGAAGAACCAGTGGCATCTACATCTGCAGAACGTGAAGAACCAGTGGCATCTACATCTACAGAACGTGAAGAACCAGTGGCATCTACATCTGTAGAATGTGAAGAACCAGTGACATCTACATCTGCAGAACGTGAAGAACCAGTGGCATCTACATCTACACAACTGAAGAACCAGTGGCATCTACATCAGCAGAATGTGAAGAACCAGTGGCATCTACATCTGTAGAACGTGAAGAACCAGTGGCATATAAATCTACAGAACGTGAAGAACCAGTGGTATCTACATCTGCAGAACGTGAAGAACCAGTGGCATCTACATCTACACAACTGAAGAACCAGTGGCATCTACATCTGCAGAACGTGAAGAACCAGTGGCATGTACATCTGTAGAACGTGAAGAACCAGTGGCATCTACTTCTGTAGAACGTGAAGAACCAGTGGCATCTACATCTGCAGAACGTGAAGAACCAGTAGCATCTATATCTGCTGAACGTGAAGAACCAGTGGCATCTACATCTGTAGAACGTGAAGAACCAGTGACATCTACATCTGCAGAACGTGAAGAACCAGTGGCATCTACATCTGTAGAACGTGAAGAACCAGTGGCATCTACTCTACAGAACATGAAGAACCAGTGGCATCTACATCTGTAAAACGTGACGAACCAGTGGCATCTACATCTGCAAAACGTGAAGAACCAGTGGTATCTACATCTCCAGAACGTGAAGAACCAGTGGCATCTACATCTACAGAACGTGAAGAACCAGTGACATCTACATTTAAAGAACGTGAAGAACCAGTGGCATCTACATCCGTAGAACGTGAAGAACCAGTGGCATCTACATCTGCAGAACGTGAAGAACCAGTGACATCTACATCTACAGAACGTGAAGAACCAGTGGCATCTACATCTGTAGAATGTGAAGAACCAGTGACATCTACATCTGCAGAACGTGAAGAACCAGTGACATCTACATCTGCAGAACGTGAAGAACCAGTGGCATCTACATCTACAGAACATGAAGAACCAGTGGCATCTACATCTGTAGAACGTGAAGAACCAGTGGCATCTACATCTACAGTACGTGAAGAACCAGTGGCATCTTCGTCTACAGAACGTGAAGAACCAGTGGCATCTACATCTGTAGAACGTGAAGAACCAGTGACATCTACATCTAAAGAACGTGAAGAACCAGTGGCATCTACATCTGTAAAACGTGACGAACCAGTGGCATCTACATCTGCAGAACGTGAAGAACCAGTGGCATCTACATCTGCAGAACGTGACGAACCAGTGGCATCTACATCCGCAGAACGTGAAGAACCAGTGGCATTTACATTTGCAGAACGTGAAGAACCAGTGGCATCTACAGAACGTGAAGAACCAGTGGCATTTACATCTGTAGAACGTGAAGAACCAGTGGCATCTACATCTGCAGAACGTGAAGAACCAGCGGCATCTACAGAACGTGAAGAATCAGTGGCATCTACATCTGCAGAACGTGAAGAACCAGTGACATCTACATCTACAGAACGTGAAGAATCAGTGGCATCTACATCTGCAGAACGTGAAGAACCAGTGACATCTACATCTGTAGAACGTGAAGAACCAGTGGCATCTACAGAACATGAAGAACCAGTGGCATCTACATCTGTAGAACGTGAAGAACCAGTGGCATCTACATCTGCAGAACGTGAAGAACCAGTGGCATCTACATCTACAGAACGTGAAGAACCAGTGGCATCTACATCTGTAGAATGTGAAGAACCAGTGACATCTACATCTGCAGAACGTGAAGAACCAGTGGCATCTACATCTACACAACTGAAGAACCAGTGGCATCTACATCAGCAGAATGTGAAGAACCAGTGGCATCTACATCTGTAGAACGTGAAGAACCAGTGGCATATAAATCTACAGAACGTGAAGAACCAGTGGTATCTACATCTGCAGAACGTGAAGAACCAGTGGCATCTACATCTACACAACTGAAGAACCAGTGGCATCTACATCTGCAGAACGTGAAGAACCAGTGGCATGTACATCTGTAGAACGTGAAGAACCAGTGGCATCTACTTCTGTAGAACGTGAAGAACCAGTGGCATCTACATCTGCAGAACGTGAAGAACCAGTAGCATCTATATCTGCTGAACGTGAAGAACCAGTGGCATCTACATCTGTAGAACGTGAAGAACCAGTGACATCTACATCTGCAGAACGTGAAGAACCAGTGGCATCTACATCTGTAGAACGTGAAGAACCAGTGGCATCTACTCTACAGAACGTGAAGAACCAGTGGCATCTACATCTGTAGAACGTGACGAACCAGTGGCATCTACATCTGCAGAACGTGAAGAACCAGTGGCATCTACATCTACAGAACGTGGAGAACCAGTGGCATCTACATCTACAGAACGTGAAGAACCAGTGACATCTACATCTGCAGAACGTGAAGAACCAGTGGCATCTACATCCGTAGAACGTGAAGAACCAGTGGCATCTACATCTGCAGAACGTGAAGAACCAGTGGCATCTACATCTACAGAACGTGAAGAACCAGTGGCATCTACATCTGTAGAATGTGAAGAACCAGTGACATCTACATCTGCAGAACGTGAAGAACCAGTGACATCTACATCTGCAGAACGTGAAGAACCAGTGGCATCTACATCTACAGAACATGAAGAACCAGTGGCATCTACATCTGTAGAACGTGAAGAACCAGTGGCATCTACATCTGCAGAACGTGAAGAACCAGTGGCATCTTCGTCTACAGAACGTGAAGAACCAGTGGCATCTACATCTGTAGAACGTGAAGAACCAGTGACATCTACATCTAAAGAACGTGAAGAACCAGTGGCATCTACATCTGTAAAACGTGACGAACCAGTGGCATCTACATCTGCAGAACGTGAAGAACCAGTGGCATCTACATCTGCAGAACGTGACGAACCAGTGGCATCTACATCCGCAGAACGTGAAGAACCAGTGGCATCTACATTTGCAGAACGTGAAGAACCAGTGGCATCTACAGAACGTGAAGAACCAGTGGCATTTACATCTGTAGAACGTGAAGAACCAGTGGCATCTACATCTGCAGAACGTGAAGAACCAGCGGCATCTACAGAACGTGAAGAATCAGTGGCATCTACATCTGCAGAACGTGAAGAACCAGTGACATCTACATCTACAGAACGTGAAGAATCAGTGGCATCTACATCTGCAGAACGTGAAGAACCAGTGACATCTACATCTGTAGAACGTGAAGAACCAGTGGCATCTACAGAACGTGAAGAACCAGTGGCATCTACATTTGTCAGAACGTCAAGAACCAGCGACATCTACATCTACAGAACGTGAAGAACCAGTGGCATCTCCAGCTGCAGAACGTGAAGAACCAGTGGCATCTACATCTGTAGAACGTGAAGAACCAGTGGCATCTACATCTGCAGAACGTGAAGAACCAGTGGCATCTACATCTGTAAAACGTGAAGAACCAGTGGCATCTACATCTACAGAACGTGAAGAACCAGTGGCATCTACATCTGCAGAACGTGAAGAACCAGTGGCATCTACATCCGCAGAACGTGAAGAACCAGTGGCATCTACAGAACGTGAAGAACCAGTGGCATCTACATCTACAGAACGTGAAGAACCAGTGGCATCTACATCTACAGAACATGAAGAACCAGTGGCATCTACATCTACAGAACGTGAAGAACCAGTGGCATCTACATCTACAGAACGTGAAGAACCAGTGGCATCTACATCCGCAGAACGTGAAGAACCAGTGGCATCTACAGAACGTGAAGAACCAGTGGCATCTACATCTACAGAACGTGAAGAACCAGTGGCATCTACATCTACAGAACATGAAGAACCAGTGGCATCTACATCTACAGAACGTGAAGAACCACTGGCATCTACATCCGCAGAACGTGAAGAACCAGTGGCATCTACATCCGCAGAACGTGAAGAACCAGTGGCATCTACAGAACGTGAAGAACCAGTGGCATCTACATCTACAGAACGTGAAGAACCAGTGGCATCTACATCTACAGAACATGAAGAACCAGTGGCATCTACATCCGCAGAACGTGAAGAACCAGCGGCATCTACATCTGCAGGAGATTGCACAACTTTGAAATCCATTCCCCCGTGTTTAGCGCAATTTGCCGTGCAGCGCGTTTTGAGCCGACGGGGGAGTAAAGCAGTCAGTCAGTCCGTCCGTCCGTCCGTCCCGTCAAATCTGTCCGTGTCCGTCCGTCTGTCCTTGTCCCTCCGTCCGTCCGCTGTCCGTCCGTCTCCATCGTCCCTTCTCCGCGCGTGGGTGCCGTAGATCGTGCGGGCTGACCTGCGCGACCTTCGCGACCTCGACCTGGAGGGCGCTCCGTACGGCTACACGCCGTTCTGCGAGAGTCGCAGGGAGATGGACGGCTACCGCTTCTGGAAGTCGGGATACTGGGCCAGCCATCTTGGGGGGCGCAAATACCACATCAGGTTTGGGGGGCGGGGGGCAAATACCACATCGGGTTTGGGGGGGGCGCAAATACCACATCGGGTTTGGGGGGGGCGCAAAAACCACATCGGGTTTGGGGGGGGGGCGCAAATACCACATCAGGTTTGGGGGGGGGGCGCAAATACCACATCGGGTTGGGGGGGCGCAAATACCACATCGGGTTTGGGGGGGGGGCGCAAATACCACATCAGGTTTGGGGGGGTGCAAATACCACATCAGGTTTGGGGGGGGGGGCGCAAATACCACATCGGGTTTGGGGGGGTGCGCAAATACCACATCGGGTTTGGGGGGGGGGCGCAAATACCACATCAGGTTTGGGGGGGGGCGCAAATACCACATCAGGTTTGGGGGGGGGGCGCAAATACCACATCGGGTTTGGGGGGGGCGCAAATACCACATCGGGTTTGGGGGGGGGGGCGCAAATACCACATTGGGTTTGGGGGGCGTAAATACCACATCGGGTTTGGGGGGGGGCGAAAATACCACATCGGGTTTGGGGGGGGGCGCAAATACCATATCGGGTTTGGGGGGGGGGCGCAAATACCACATCGGGTTTGGGGGGGCGCAAATACCACATCGGGTTTGGGGGGGGCGCAAATACCACATCGGGTTGGGGGGCCGGGGGCGGGGTGGGGTGTAGGGTGGGTGGGTGGGTGAGGTGTGGGGTGTGTGTGTGGGTGGAGGTGTGGGTGAGGTGTGGGTGGGTGTGGGTGAGGTGGGGTGTGTGTGTGGGGTGTGTGGATGGGGTGTGTGTGTGGGTGGAGGTGTGGGTGGAGGTGTGGGTGAGGTGTGTGTGTGGGTCAGGTGTAGGTGGGGTGTGTGGATGGGTGTGGGTGGGTGAGGTGTGTGGGTGGGGTGTGTGGATGGGGTGTGTGTGTGGGTGGAGGTGTGGGTGGGTTTGTGGGTGAGGTGTGGGTGGGTGTGTGGGTGAGGTGTGGGTGGGTGTGTGGGTGAGGTGTGGGTGGGTGAGGTGTGGGTGAGGTGTGGGTGAGGTGTGTGTGTGGGTCAGGTGTAGGTGGGTGTGGGTGGGTGAGGTGTGTGGATGGGGTGTGTGGGGTGTGGGTGTGTGTGTAGGTGGGGGTAGGTGTGTGTGGGTGGGGGTGGGTGGGTGTGTGTGTGTGTGTGGGTGGGTGTGGGTGGGGGTCAGTGGGTGTTGGACTTGCTCCAACAGCCTATTAAGGCTATAAGGGGGATCTTTGTCTTTGTGGGGAGCGGTGGGGCAGCGGTTAGCGCTGCGCTACGAACCCTCTGTGACCCGGGTTCAATTCCCGCTCACGGCCAACACCAGTGACGATTATCTGAACCGGTCCTGGGCCTCCCCTAGGTCGACTCAGCCTCAAACGAGTACTTGGCAGTGGTGAGTAGTAAACATCGCCACTGGGGAGACAAAGGCGGCCGGGTGTGGTCCTGGCCACCCACCCCCTCGTGTGCCGTGCCGGCCTTCATAGGTGCCGCTCGCTAACAGCACTTGCCCCAACAGTCTGTTAGAGGCTAAACGGTGGATCTTTGTGTGCGTGTGTGTGCGTGCGTGTGTGTGCGTGCGTGCGTGTGTGTGCGTGTGTGTGTGTGTGCGTGTGTGCGCGTGTTTGTGCATGTGTGCGTGTGTGTTTGCGTGCGTGTGCATGTGTGTGTGCGCGCGTGTGTGTGCGCATGTGTGCGTGTGTATGCGTGCGTGTGTGCGTGTCTGCGTGTGTGCGTGTGTGTGTGCGTGTACGTCAGCGCCCTGTACGTGGTAGACCTGAAGAAGTTCCGCAAGGTGGCCGCTGGGGACCGTCTGCGTGGCCAATACCAGGCCCTGAGCCAGGACCCCAACAGCCTCTCCAACCTGGACCAGGTGCGGACTGCAGACACACGCACACAACAACAACACAACAACAACAACCGCCATTCGCCACTAAGTGGCGGTGACGTCACCACGACGCTTGTGCCAGGCTATGTGCACCCTAAGGCCACGTGAAGTGTCGAACGCCCGCTGGCAGGAGGTCACGGGGCAGACCCAGGTGCCACGGGTCGACTGACTGAGATGACAGGCTGATGCACCACCTGTGCCCCATACTCTGCCAACCTGTTGTGCTTTAGCCACCCGGCGCTCCGCTCGTTGTTGTGAGCATCGCTCCTCCGCCCTCCGTTGTTGTTGGAGGGCGACTGCCTCCAACTGCCCAGTAGCATCCTTCACGAGCCTCCTCCACAGAGGCCGATCTTGACACCGCTGGTACCAGTCATCGGCAAGTCCACTCAGCTCCACGTCCTCCTGTACCACATCACTCCATCTCTTCTCTAGCCCGTGCCGCGCCCGTTTAGCCCCCTCGATCCGGCCAAACAAAAGCTGTTTCGGCATGCGGTGGCTGGGCATGCGGGCTACATGACCCAGCCATCGCAGCCTTGCCTGCCGGAGGAGCTCACCGATGGGACCCTGCCCAGATCTTTCAAGGATTTGTGAGCTCCTCACACAATCCAGTCTGGTTAAACCCAGGATGGATCGTATTCAGGCCAGCCTAAATGTTTCTAACCGGCGAAGATGTTCCATTAGGGGGGTCCACGTTTCGGAAGCGTAGAGAAGGGAGGGAATGACCGTGGCCGAGAAGACCTGAAGCTTAGTGCGGAGCGACAGACCAGGTAGCTTCCACACAGCGTTACGCAACCGATGAAAAGATATTGCCGCTCGACTGATTCGGAGTGAGACCTCTGCTATTAAACTGGAGCCGGTCATAAGCAGACTGTCCAGGTATGGGAAACTCTCCACTCGCTCCACAACTGCCCCATCACCAATTAATTACCACCCTTATGAGACCTCCTTTGCCAGAAACAAGATATAGGAATAGGTTTTACCCTTTTAACTGGCACAAAAAACTGACACCTTTATTCAAGGCATCATGTTTGCAATGATCACAACACAAGCAGTTATCAGAGTTGTCTTTTGTGTTTGCATTTTGACTGCTTGTGTTGTGGTCATTGCAAACATGATGCCTTGAATAAAGGTGCCAGTTTTTTGTGCCAGTTAAAAGGGTAAAACCTATTCCTATAATTACCACTAAATCACGAGTTAAACGTACACACACACACACACAGACACACGCAGACACACGTACACAGACACTGTCCCTGCTTTCGGAACACGCAAGGCACTCCGGCAGCCTCAGCGACTCATCACACTCCCTCCCTCCCCTCCCTCCCTCCCCTCCCTCCCTCCCTCCCTCCCTCCCTCCCCTCCCCTCCCTCCCTCCCTCCCCTCCCTCCCCCTCCCTCCCTCCCTCCCTCCCTCCCCTCCCTCCCCCTCCCTCCCTCCCTCCCTCCCTCCCCTCCCTCCCCTCCCTCCCTCCCTCCCTCCCTCCCTCCCTCCCCTCCCTCCCTCCCTCCCCTCCCTCCCCTCCCTCCCCTCCCTCCCCTCCCTCCCTCCCTCCCTCCCCTCCCTCCCCTCCCTCCCTCCCTCCCTCCCTCCCCTCCCTCCCTCCCTCTCCTCCCCCCCTCCCTCTCCTCCCCCACTCCCTCTCCTCCCTCCCCTCCCTCTCCTCCCTCCCCTCCCTCTCCTCCCTCTCCTCCCTCCCTCCCTCCCTCCCTCCCTCCCTCCCCTCCCCTCCCTCCCCTCTCCTCCCTCTCCTCCCTCCCCTCTCCTCCCTCTCCTCCCTCCCTCCCTCCCCTCTCCTCCCTCCCTCCCTCCCCTCCCCTCTCCTCCCCTCCCTCCCTCTCCTCTCTCCCTCCCTCTCCTCCCTCTCCTCCCTCTCCTCCCTCCCCTCTCCTCTCCTCCCTCCCTCTCCTCCCCTCCCTCCCTCCCCTCCCTCCCCTCTCCTCCCTCCCTCCCCTCCCTCCCTCTCCTCCCTCTCCTCCCTCCCTCCCTCCCTCCCTCTCCTCCCTCTCCTCCCCCCTCTCCTCCCTCTCCCCCCCACCCCACCACGACGTGCAGGACCTACCAAACAACATGATTCACCAGGTGGCCATCAAGTCGCTGCCGCAGGAGTGGATGTGGTGTGAGACGTGGTGTGATGACTCCTCCAAGCGTCACGCCAAAACCATCGACCTCGTGAGCGACCCACACAGACAACCACTCACTCACTCACACACTCGCACACTCACTCACACACTCACACACACACACACCACTCACACACTCACACACACACTCACACACTCACTCACACACTCACACACACACTCACACACACACTCACTCACACACTCACACACACACTCACACACACACTCACTCACACACTCACACACACACTCACACACACTCACACACTCACTCACACACTCACACACACACTCACTCACACACTCACACACACACTCACACACACTCACACACTCACTCACACACACTCACTCACTCACTTACACCACTCACACCACTCACACCACTCACACACACACACTCACTCACTCACTCACACACACTCACTCACACACTCACTCACACTCACTCACTCACTCACACACTCACTCACACACTCACACAACCACTCACTCACACACACACTCACACACTCACACACACACACACACTCACACACTCACTCACACACACACACACACACACTCACTCACTTACACCACTCACACACACACACTCACTCACTCACACACTCACACACACTCACACAACCACTCACTCACACACACTCACTCACACACTCACACACTCGCACACTCACTCACACACTCACACACTCACTCACACACTCACACACACACTCACACACACTCACACACACTCACACACTCACTCACTCACTCACACACACTCACTCACTCACTTACACCACTCACACCACTCACACCACTCACACACACACACTCACTCACTCACACACACTCACTCACACACTCACTCACACTCACTCACTCACACACTCACTCACACACTCACACAACCACTCACTCACACACACACTCACACACTCACACACACACTCACACACACACTCACACAACAACAACAACAACAACAACCGCCATTCGCCACTAAGTGGCGGTGACGTCACCACGACGCTTGTGCCAGGCTATGTGCACCCTGAGGCCACGTGAAGTGTCGAACGCCCGCTGGCAGGAGGTCACGGGGCAGACCCAGGTGCCACGGGTCGACTGACTGAGATGACTGGCTGATGCACCACCTGTGCCCCCTACTGTGCCAACCTGCTGTACTTTAGCCACCCGGCGCTCCGCTCGCTGTTGTGAGCGTCGCTCCTCCGCCCTCCGTTGTTGTTGGAGGGCGACTGCCTCCAACTGCCCAGTAGCATCCTTCACGAGCCTCCTCCACAGAGGCCGATCTTGACACCGCTGGTACCAGTCATCGGCAAGTCCACTCAGCTCCACGTCCTCCTGTACCACATCACTCCATCTCTTCTCTAGCCCGTGCCGCGCCCGCTTAGCCCCCTCAATCCGGCCAAACAAAAGCTGTTTCGGCATGCGGTGGCTGGGCATGCGGGCTACATGACCCAGCCATCGCAGCCTTGCCTGCCGGAGGAGCTCACCGATGGGACCCTGCCCAGATCTTTCAAGGATTTGTGAGCTCCTCACACAATCCAGTCTGGTTAAACCCAGGATGGATCGTAGGCAGGTCAGCCTAAATGTTTCTAACCGGCGAAGATGTTCCATTAGGGGGGTCCACGTTTCGCAAGCGTAGAGAAGGGAGGGAATGACCGTGGCCGAGAAGACCTGAAGCTTAGTGCGGAGCGACAGACCAGGTAGCTATTACCAAGTCATCAGCATACATAACGTGGTTGAGCAATAGGGAGCCATCCCTTGACCGCACCCGGGCATCGATTAGCCTCCCATTATATCTGTACCATATGGAGATTCCCCCGGTACAGCTATTGAAGGCTTCACGAACTACGTGGTCAAAATAGATGTTAAATAATGTGGGAGCCAGAGGACATCCCTGTCGCA